CAGCGCAGCCCTCGGGCCTCATCTTCTCATCCGAGAGATGGGGCTGGCATGGCTCTGCAGCCTGATGTCACGGATGGGCTGGGGGGCTCTGGGCCCTGGGCGAACTCCTCCCCACCTCCTTGTCCACCAGCCTCCAAGCCCGAAAAGCAGGGCTCAAGGTCTCTGTCCCCTCCCTGGCGCCCAAGAGTGTGAGGCGATGGAAGACAGGCGCAGGGATGCAATCAAGCGCGTCTGAGCCTTTCCAGTCCCGTCTTCCCTCGGGCTTCGTCAAAGAGGGAGCCTCGTCGTCACCCTTGACCTCACGAAGGTGCCCAAAACTCAGAATGCCAGGGTGATCCCCACCCCACTGCTCAGACTCCCCGGGACCAGGGCCCTGCATTCTAGAGAACGGCCCAAACAGTGGAGGGAGTTGGGTCCCCTGCCGCCCTTCTGGCCCGAGCTGGCCCTGGTTACACTTGCCCCGCTGCAGGAGACACCAGAAAAGCCTGCAATCTTTATCATGGGGTGGGGGGTGCGGGGGACAGACAGTGCTCCTGGGGAGACTAGAGCGTTCTGGAAGGACAGGAATCCAATTCCTCCCCCCGTGCCACCCCTCACGCTCCCCAGGCCGTGGCTATGTCGCACCACAATCCCCTCCCAACACCTGGGCCCTTGGGGGTAGCTGAGACCCTTCTCTCTGGGGACGCTTCCCACCAGGCTGCCGTCTGTCCTGGGGCGTCATGCTCAGGCCGGATGCTCAGAGCACAGAGGGGGACATCGAGGCTGCAGGGGAGGGCACCTCATCCCGGGCCTCGACCGGGCCGGCCCAGCCCGAAGCCCTGGAGGGCCCCTAAGCCAGCACTTCTTGACCCGTTTGTTGGCTGAAGGGGCAGCTGCGGGACCCCATTCCCTAGTCCTGTGCACCCCTGGGGGGCCGCGTCCTTCTCAGGGCTCCCCAGGTCTGAGTCTACCCCTCGATCCCCACAAGCCCCACCGCCATGCTGGCGGCTTTGTGTCTCACTCTCAACCTCCACTCTCAGCGCGTCTTTCAGGCCTGAGGTCCCCTCGACAAATGAAGGCGCCCCCAGCCCCCCACCGCCTGCTGGGGCCCACCGTTCTCTGGGAGGGGGCAGCGGTCTGCCACCACCGCTGCTGGAGGGCACAGATTCCTTCCCGGCCGGCTTGGGTTCTCGATTATGCCCCAGAAGGAAAGCGGACCTGAGATCCCCAAGCCAGGCTGGTGCCCATCTGCCTTGACGGCGGCCCCGAGGCCGATGTGTGGCTGCTCCTGCCCAAACCTCCTGAGCTTTCCTCTCCTTCCTGTAGCCCACTGGCCTACCGCAGCCACAGCTCCTGCCCGCTCACCTCCCGAGATCTGCCCCAGCCGGCTCTCTGCACCCCAGCCTGGCTCCCTTCCTTTAACGGCCAGGACGTGAAAAGCAGGAAGTGACAGCAGAATGTTCTCTCATTCTGCCCCTTCTCACCTCCCAGCTTAAGAAAGAAGGCAGGGGTGGGGGGTGGGAGGACGGAGCAGCAGGTCGGAGCAGCTCGGAAAGGAAGGAGAAGCCCTGCCAGCGCCGCCAGGCAGTGATGGAGAGGGAGCTGGGGTCCAGCTGAGGCCCTGAGAGGCGAGGCTGCCCTCCGCCAGAGCCGGGCCAGCAGGCCCTGGAGCTAGCGGAGGGGGTGGCCTTGCAGACTGCACAGCCCTCGGGACAGGCAGGAGGACGAGCAGGCAG